CCTATTTASCTAGGACTACAGACATATGCCACCACATTGGTCTATGCTACTAAATTAAGTTTTAAACACTATTCAGGCACAGGGGATACAACCATAAATATTTTTTAAGTTTCTGCAATCATGGCAAATTAAAATTAGTTATATAAATGAACTAATTATAAAAACTCGTGTAGGGCTGGGGCTGTAGCTCAATGGTAGAGCACTTGCTTAGCATGAGTGAGGCACTAGCTTCAATCCTCAGCACCACATAAAAATTAAAAAACAAATAAAAAAAGGCATTCTGTCCATCTACAACTACAAAAAAAAWTTTTAAAAAACCTGGTGAAAACTCTGCATTTAATATGCATTCCATCATTACAATGAAACAAAAATTTAGATTAACTTTATTTTGAAATTAGAAGTTTGCATGTCAAGCTGGCCAAATTGCAGATGAACTGCTGCAATTTAAAATTATATGCTTTTTCCTTTTATTTCTTAATCTAGAAACTAGGTATAATACAAGCTTGTTCAAAGTAGATAATATTTTCCTCATTCTGTCATGACAATCCAATTGCTCCTAACTCAATAAGGAGTTMATTATTAAACAACTTTTTTCTTTTTCTTTTTCTTTTATGGATTACTGTGGCAAGGGATCTCAGGTGACTAATGTAATTTAAGGATTTGTTTTTCTAGGAAAACAATTGATATAGTCAAAATAATCTTCAAAATCTAAGCATACTGCACTCTCTATAGAGGTTTTTTTTTTTTTTTAGGTTTGATTCTCAGATCAATCCATGAGAGTAAATCTAAACCACAATGAAGCAATAATGGTACTAGTAACTCACCCAGAATGCAAAGCCCTGATGTCTTAAACTAAGTCTTTAACTGGGGGTGGAGATGAGGTGGAAGCAGTAGATCAGGATAGAGAAAAGACAGGTACAGATTCTGAGAAATAAGTAAAAACTGGAGAGAATGGATGAAAACTTTGGTTTAAAAGGGACCAAAAGAGAAACCAGGAGTTTCTAGAATCTGAAACAGATTCTGTTAGATAGCAAAAGTCTGGTAGTCTCTAAGACCAAAAGGAGATGGAATGTGGAATAGCAAAGGGACTGCAAGTATTCTTATGTAAGAGAGGTTCTTGTCAATTGACAATTGAGAACTGAGCAGCACTTTAGTTCACAGAGGAATCACRGGAAGGTTAATGTTAAAAGCACTGAAAGAATTTAATAATTACAGTAAAGAAATAGAGACAGTTTGGAATTACACTATATCAATCCCTTGCTTTATCTCCACACTACATTTTACTGAAAAATTGGTTTGTTTCTCAAAACTAGCAAGGTGGAGCCACCAAATGTGATGATCATTATTATCCAAAGTACATGTATGAAGACACAAAGTGGTGTGAATATACTATGTATACAACCAGAGATATGAAAAATTGTGCTCTATACATGTAATAAGAATTATGATGCATTCTGCTGTTATATAAATTAAAAAATAAGTGAGAGAACATGCAAAAAGAGAAATATCAAAATGGAAAAAAAGAATATAACTAAAGTTGGGTAATTGCAATTTCAAAAAAAGACACGCTTACAATATCAAAGTCAAAGTAAGGAATGAAACTTGGAGCATTCTGTAGGGGAGAAAAAAAAACTTTTCCTCTATTCTCTTAGATTTAGTAGCTAGGTTCTTATATTAGTCAGCTTTCTGGTAGTGTGATAAATAACCATAAATAATATAATAACCAAATAATATAACTWATAAAGAGAAAARGTTTATTTTGCCTCACTGTTCTGAGGTTTTAGTCCAAGACACATTGGTTCTATTGCTTTAGGCCTGGGAAAGGCCACAGATCATAGATAACACACACAGTGGGGCAAAACTGCTCATATCGTGGCCAGGAAACAAAAGAGAGTTAGAGGATGGATTTGGGGCCCATTATTCTCTTCATGGGAATGGGGACTTCATAAAAATACATGAAGAACCCAAAGAAGCAGCTGCACTCAGGAGTATAATAAACAAATGGCAGTACATTGTGGAGAGGTAACTAAGAATATATGGAAGAACTAATGAAATATAAGGGTTTAGAATAGTTTATGCAGACTCAGTGCTAGCTTTCCTCTTCCTCGCATAGAAGGGAATATTTATACCATCTTCACAACAGGAAATTTATAACCTACTTTCAGGCATGTAAGGAATCTTTGCCCTTGACTGTAGGCAAAACTCTTACAATTCAATAGTAATAAGATAAACAACCCAGTTAAAAAATAGGCAAAATAATTAAAGAGATATTTCACCAAAGAAATACATGGAATCCAAGTAAGAACAAAAATATGTTCAAAATTAATCATTAAGGAAATGCATATCAAAACTACAATCAGATATGAAGATATTCCTGCTAGAGTGGCTAAAATTAAAAAGACTGACCACACTAAGTGTTGACAGGTATGTGGATCAACTACTACTCTACTAGTAGATGTACAAAATGGTAAAACCATTTAGGAAATCAAATTAACAGTTTCTTAAAAAATTAAACACACATCTACTATATGATGTACCCATCAATACTAGGCATTTATTTTTATTTGTACCCATGGCTGCATAACAATATTATCACCAACTTATTGGTATAATATAATACATATTTATTATCCCACAGTTTCTATGAATAGGGAGTCAAGGCACAACTTAATGGGTCCTCTACTTTAGAGACTCACAAGGTCTTATTTGATGTTCAAATAGAGAAGGATTCAGATTCAAGTAGCTTTAAGCACCAGTCAGCTCCTTGTGGATTATCAGACTAAAGGCTACAATTACTTGCTGGTTATTGGTCAGATGCCACCCTCAGTTCCCTGCCACATAGTCCTTCACAACATGGGTAACTAACTGCCTTCCTCTGAGTCATTAAAAGAGATAATTATTCCTAGCCAGATGAACTTAACAATCCTGTCTAATGTAATAATGTACAMATATCTTGTACATCAATTTTTCTATCAACTATTCTTGATTACTAGTTATAATCAAGTCACAGACTCCACCCAAACTCAAAGGATAAAGAGTTATCCAAGAGCATGAATAATGGGGGAGACACTTTAGAGGATAAATAAAACAGGACACCCAAGATAAATAAAACATATCCACATAAAAACTCTTACACAAATGTTTTTAGAAGCTTTATTTATATTAGCCACAAACCCAAAAACAAAAAACTCAAATATCCATCAACAGGCACATGGATAAGAAAAACTGTGGTATATACATATAATAGTACACTCATCAGTTAAAAAAAAAAGCTACAACAATGCATGCAACAACATGAATGAATCYCAAAATAATTATACTGAGTTAAGCCAGCAAATGAGAGTATACAGTGTATTCCACTTATATAAAACTACTGAAAATGTAAACTAATCTACAGTGACAAAAAGCAGATCAGAGGTAGCCCAGGAAAAGTGAAAGAGGGAGAAGACAGATTACCAAGAATCTGCAAGGAACCTACAAAGAAACTTCCGCAGTGATAAATATGCTCATTATCTTGGTATGGTGCTGGTTCACAGGTGTACACATATGACAAAATTCATCAAATTGTATACTTTAAGTATGTGCTGCTTCATGTACCTCAATAAGTCTGCTAAATTGTACTTCAATAATCCTAGTTTTTAAAAGTATTTTTTAAAAATAAGATTTACTTTCAACAAGGACACCATGTCACACCAATACATCCTGTTAAATAAAATTTTTTTCAGCTATTTACCACTAAATAAAATCGATGTCAATAAAAATAAAAGAATATCTTAGCTGTACAAAGTATTCAGAATAGGATATGTAAATAAGGTAACAAAAAAGAACTTTTATGGACAGAAACTTTTTTGATGTTTAGAGGTGCATACAAGCACATTTCCTAAACAGAAAGATTTATTTGATAACATATTTATTTATTTACTCAACAAGTATTCATTTTTGAGTAATTCTTTTCCAATAAAGAATAAAGTATTTCATTGAAATGCAACAAAATATGTTAGTAAATTCAGTGTAAATCAACATGTAATTTTACAAATGTGATCAGCATGCACAAGGTTAAAAATCTCTCTCAGAATTGGTTTCTTGAGTAAGAATCAAAACTATGTGCAAATGAATCTCTTAACTACCTTGGGGTTCTATATGTTATTTTGAAGAACTATGAATTACAGGTAGAATCACCATGTGATTTATTGTTCTAACTTATGAGTGTTCTTAATTACAATGCTGGATCGCTGTACTAAACCATCTCTGTCCCAGGAAAACTAGGATTTACAGTCAGTCACCCTAGTTATAGGAAAGTTTTGTTTTGTTTTAAAGTTACAAGTACAAATTCCTGAACTCAACGGCAGAACTACTGAATCAGAATCTTTAGTGTGAGAGTTAGGAAGCTTTGGATTCTAAATGATATCATTAAAGGCTCTTCCAATTCTAAAATTTTATGTTTCAGAGAGTAATTTTGAACGTGCACTTGATATTAAAGGATATCAGGAAAGTGTTAATCTTATATGTAATAATAATGTTGTGATTGCATAGAATTCCTTAATTTTAGGAAATAAATATAACTGCATTTAGGGGTGATGTGTCATATCTGCCATTTCCTTTCACTTCATTCAGGGAATACACACACACACACAAACACACACACACAGGCAAGTAGAGCTCATAGTGTATATACATGTGTCCACTATACTATTCTTTCAATTTTATGTATGTTTGAAATTTCTCATAATAAAGTGGTAAGAGGAAAAGGCTATTAAGGAAAATATCTGTGTTAGATTCAATGACAGAATGGATGAGGCAGGATTATTGTTACAAACACGGACTTATAAGGGCTGTGCCTTAACTGATTGATGCATACCTAATTTGGGATGTCCAGGGAACTGTTTTGCCAACTACAAATATAACAAACATTACTTGTAAATCGTGCTGCTGAAAAGGATCTTCAAATATCAACGTGTGGCATAAGTACACACAAATAACAGTGGCAGAAATAATACTACCTGTCGCAAAGGACTGGCATGTCAGCCTTTTCTCCAAGAAAGGCTTCTGGTCCTAGGCTGACCTTACTTTCACCAGAATGAGGTAGTTCCAGAGTCCCAAGCAAGGGAGGAGACTGTTCCCCCACCTAGGAGCCTAGAAACTGTTCCCGAGACCCTTCCACAGACATCAGCAGCACCAGATTCGCCAGTTGCTATGTTTAGTTGCTAAGGCACTAACCCTCTCGCAGGAAGAGTGGGGCAGTGCACTCTCTTTTAACGTCCTAGCAAATCCTCTAGATGCTGAGAGCATTAGTTCCGGGAAGAAACTCAGCTCCCCTAAGAGCGACGGGAAGACGAGGAGACGCTGGGAGTGACGCCTCTGAGCCGCGGAGGATTGTGGGAGGAGGTTGTCTCCAATTTCTCCTCCCCTCCCCCCCTCCCGGCCAAGATGTCTGACATGGAGGATGATTTCATGTGCGATGATGAGGAAGACTACGACCTGGTGAGGCGCAGGGAACGGAATTCTGGGGCTGGAGATGGTGTCTGACTTTTAGGGCCGAGGCTGAGGAGGCTACAGCGTCTCCCTGTAGAGCATGTGTCCCTTTGAGCCTCTCCGAGTGCAGTGACAGGACGGGTTTACCTCMTCCCCCTTCCCGCACCCGGCTTGGGCCCTGCTTCTCCAGCATGGGGGAGGGGAGGGTAAAGGAGGCCGAGTAGGGGGTCCCAGGCCTTTACGCTCCAAGTCCAAACGCCTTCTTGGTTTACACCGACGCCCCGGCCCGGGCGTCCGGTTCTCGATGCCTCCTACCTCCTCCACCGCGCGAGCCGCCTCGGGGACAGTGCAGCGGTCTAGGCCCTAGCTTTCCGCTTTGGGGCCCAGCATTCCGAGCCCTTCTTCACACTGACCTGAGCGGGTGCGAAAAACCGGGAGAAGATCTTAAAACTGGGGTGGCGATACTGGCCCAGGCCCGAACTCGAAACGCTGCTTGCTACCTTCCTGGAAACAGCTTAAATACTTTTGTCCGGGGTCAGTTTTGGTCAAAAGTAGGGGTACAGTGAAGAGTTCAGAGCAAGGATAGCTGGAAAAAAAAAATTGAACTACTTTTTCAGTTCTTGAAAGAGAAAGCTGGAGTAGGGGTAGGTTTTGCTTGTGATTGTTGGGACTTTGGGGGGGGCGGAGGTGATAGGGGGATTAAACCGTGGGCTTTTTCCTTCATTTAAGAAATTTCCCAGTATTCAACTTTTGAAACGTAAACGGGGTAGAAATAAACAAATTTATCTAGTTCAGTGGTGATTTTTTTAAAGATTCAAAGTTTAATTTATTAACGAGTTTACAGGTTTTACCAACGTTTCAGGTTCATATTCAAAACCAAATGTATGGAAACTAAGAAAAAATATCATGATCAAGAATTAGCATCAGCTTTATTTGGGGGCATTTCGTTTGGTTCTTGTTTTGAGAGGAGAGTTTGTTTTGTTGATGTTTCGGTACTGGGGATTGAACCCAAAGCCCCCCTCACACTAGGCAAGTATTCTACCACTGAGCTCTGTCCACATACCGGCCCTGKTTTTTTATATTATGATGATGATGCATTATGGTAAAGTTGTGAGGTAAATGCGTTAGGAAATCTGGCTCATTTTTAAGTGTCAGAGATTCTCAAGATAATTTATATATATAACTTCTTTGCCTGTGGGAATCCAGAAGTCAGTTCCAATTAGTCTTTGCATTTTTAAGGAAGGTACATTTTGCAAAAGGGAGAGGGATGCGCTTGCTATTACTTGAAAGCCATAGTAGAGATTTGGGTAATTATTGAAGTTAACTGAAGGATGTTGCTGATAGTTATGGTTTCTGCCTAACAGGTTTGCACAGACCAGCTGTAGGCAGTGCCTTCAGTTCTCTAAAAACGTATTATATCTATGTGTTTTTATTACATGTATATTTATATTACAGGTGTTAAAGTGTTTGTTTTAAATGTGTTTATAGTTTTAGTTGATGTTTTTAAAAATTTCTACTCATCTTTCCTAAGCAATAATATTTAAATACACCACTTGTTAGCACTAATATTAACTTAAAGATAGTCACTGAAAATGTAAAGTTACAGTGATGAGAACCTTATCCCAGGAAGTACTTAATTAATATTTGCAAGATTTTAAACTAAACATATAATGTTTTAACTGTTTGCTCAGCCTTTCAGGGCTTACTCTACATGAACAGTAGAATAAGGTTGAATATGTAGTTGTTTTAACTTTTTAAAAAGAAACTACTACATAATTAAATGAAATGGGGGAAGGAGAGGGTCCTTTCTTTTCCTGCATTCTGTTAAATAGCACTTCTTCCTCACCCATCTCATATGTAAGATAACATTCGAGATCCCCAATCATGTCAAATAGTAGAAGTTATTACACTTTGTCTACTAACAGTTAAAACTTTGATTGCATTATTTTACCTAGGTCTTTTTTTGTTTGTTCATATTCATAAATCCTACAGAATTGATCTGCTGTCTTAGGGAGATTTCTTTTTGATAAAAGGTATTGTTTGTTGGAAAATTGGTTATCATTTCAGTTTAGTTTGTTAACTAGCGTAGCACATTTCTGACCAGTGATACTCATTATTTCTTCATAGGCTATACCCTATATCACTTTTGGTTCTTGCCTAGTAGAGTGGAAATGGGTGATTTACCTGAAAAATTAAAAGTTCTGTTTCTATACTGTTTTTATCCAAGAAAGTAAATAATTTGTGCCCAAGAACTGATAGAAAAGAGAATTAACTTTGTTGGAAAAAAAAAAAAAAGAACAAAGTAAAAGAAAGTCAATATACTTGACTTCTTATTTTGAAGATGTTTGGTTTTATTACAGGCAAAACCAAGCATTTTCTAAGAAAAATAAATTGTATAGTAGTAAATAAGACATAGTAATAGTAGATGCCTTTTAATCTCGTGTAAATGTTACAGATTTATAGATTATTTGCTGATCTGTTATTACTAAATAATAACTACGGTGCCATTTATTAAGTTGATAAGATAGTTTATAGATTATGTATTATAATTGTTTAGCCCTTGTAGCATGAAGTTACTTAGTACTTCCAATATTTTTAGAAAGGATTTAATACAAACTGACTTTATACCAAAAAATATTTTTAGTAAGTTCTTCTATATAGGTTACATGTTATATATTTGAATATAATTGAATTAAAAGGAAATCATTGTCTAAAAAAATAGAATAGTTCCACTTGGTATATATATTATTAAACTGTGAGCCTCATTATATTCCCCTAGTCTAGTTTTTAGTTGGAATTAGTGAATGAATGTTTATTACTATTATTTTTCTTGTCTTGTTGTTGTTCTAATTAGTTATTCATGACAGTAGAATGCATTTTGACACATCATACATAAATGGAGTATAATTTCTCATTCTTCTGGTTGTACATGACATAGAATCACACCAGTTGTGTAATCATATATGTGCATAGGGTAATGTGCATATCCTGCTATCCTTCCTACACTCACCACCCATACCCCTTTCCCTCCCCCTCCCCCTCCATTTACTCTCTTCTACCTAATCCAAAGTAACACTATTCTTCTCCAGCCCCTGCCTTATTGTGATTAGTGAATGAAGTTTATTAGTATTATTTTTCATTTTTTAGTTGTAGATGGACATAATACCTTTATTTTTTATGCGACGCTGAGGATTGAACCCAGTGCCTCACATGTGCTAGGCCTACACTGTACCACTGAGTTACAACCCCAGCCCATTTTTCTTGTCTTAATATGTGACAGTTTTAATGTCCTAAATTTTTACTTTTGTCAACTTTGAGTGTGGGTATGGAGATTAGCAATAAAATTAGAGAAGTGAAATGGTCCATCACCAGAGCTGTGCACACATACCCATTATACATGTTAAATTTTTAAAATATTAAAGACCTGACAATGTAATTACTATCCCAATTTTATTAGATTAGGGGAAGATATAGAAAATGTCTAGAAGAAATTATTGGTGATTTTAATTTTTTTTTGCAAGTGTGCTCGTGCTGAGCTACAGCCCCAGCCCTAGATGTGCTCTTTTATTGCATTAATTTTAAAAAATATGACTGCTGAAAGGCAGACAGTTCTTAGAGGTTGCCAATCACATTGATCATGTGCACATTTCACATTTACATATAAATAAATACTTCATTCTTTTGGATTCAGTTTTGAAATTATTAATACAATTAAGGAAAATAAAAGCAAAAATTTGAACAAGGCGGTGATTTTAATTTTTAAAAATTGTTTATTTCAAATATTCACAGCTTCTTACAAACGTTCACAACAAATTATGGTACTTTTATTTCTGGGAGTAGGGCAGGGAGCAAATGATGAATAAAAATGTTACTTTGGGGACTAGGAATATAGTTTAGTGATAGAGCACTTGCCTACATTATGTTCAGTGTTGGGTTTAATCCCTAGTACCAAACATACACATAAACGTTGTTTGGCCTTGGGAGACTAAGCAGTGATTCTGTCATTGCTCAAAATTGTTTTGAGTTCCACTTAGAAAATTGTCTTCAGACCCTTTAACATGTTTGGTCTTTTTAAAATAAGTCGTACATAATAAGCATGATTCAAAAACAGAAAATATGTACATTAAAATTTCCTTTCTAGTTCCTCTACTGCCCAGTTCCCATCCCCCACCCACCCAACCAAATATATATTCTTTCCTCCAGGTATAGCATATTTTAGTTCTACACAATGCTTTAACTTATATACATTGTTCTACATAATATTTATCTTAGAGATTTTTTTTCCTGCAAATATACAAAAAGCTTTCTTTTTTCTACAGTTTTCTTTTATAGAGTAGATGGTGAACTATATTTTGTTGATGGAAACACCTAGTTTTCTTGCAAATTTCAGAAGTGTTACTATAGTCCATGTGTTTATCATCTTAAAAAAATTTACTGCCTTGGGTACTGGGGATTAAACCCAGGAGAGCTTTACTACTGGGTTGTATCCCCTTTTTAATTATTATTTTGAGACAGGGTCTCCCTAAGTTGTTTAGAGCCTCCCCATGCTGAGGCTGGCTTGGAACTTGCAATCCTCCTGCCTCAGCCTCCTGAGTCACTGGAATTACAGGCATTTGCTGTCACGCCCAGCATGATTTTATTGCCTTTTAAAGCTACTACTTCAAAGAAAAATATTGATTTGGAATATAAGTTTTGGTGAGTTTTCTAAAAGCCCTGTTGCTTTACCTCATTGATGTATCTTGTATAATGAAATTAGAAGGTTTCAAACAAAGATAGCTAAAATAAATGTGAGACACCTTGTAAATGCTAAGAACAAAGTAAAATTATGCTCCTAAATATTTTAAGTAACAAATTAATAAATTTAATAATAGACAAACTTAAATAATAAAATAAATTTAAGATTTTTCACAGTAACTTGTATCTATAAGATATAAATATTCAACAAAAGTTCTGTTAGTTACATGTCATGTAACTGTATAATTGTAGAAAAATTGATTTTGCTGAGAATTGAGGAATCACAAAGGTAAGCATTGATGAATACATTTCCCAGAACTATAGGGCTGGGGTGTACCATAGGAGAAAAGCAAAAATGTTTAAAGGCCAGGAGGTGGTTTAGAATTCCTACCAAAAATAATAGTTTATGCTAAAGATGTTAAATTTTGTGGCATATTTGGGGAGAGGAGAATAAATCTGAACAGTATGGATGGGCGTATATTGCTTTGGGGAAATGTTGGAACATGATTTATTATATAAGTAGGTTGAAACTATTATTGAACTTCAGAGGTTTTTAAATTCCTTTTATGGTGTTCAAACTGTTTGTTTATTTTACATAAATCGCTTAATTCTTTTTTTTAAAGCACTCTTCATCTATTGATTGAAATTTTAATTTCTTTTAAAAGTTTTTTAAACTCGCAAATTGTTATCTCATTCAAATAAGTAGATTTGGTTTAACAATATTTGTTAGTATTTCTCCTATATCCCTATTCTGATTAATGGCACCTTTTGATACTAAGCCATTGATATAGTTATTATTGGTAAATTTATTTTCCTTTATCTTGTGCCCATTGGTGAGTCTCTATTTTTATTCCATTCTCCTTTTTTTTTTTTTTTTGGGTACCAGGGATTGAACTCAAGGGCACTTAACCACTGAGCCATATCCCTAACCCTTTTTACTTTTTTATTTTGAGACAATCTAAGTTGCTTAGAGCCTCAGTTGAGACTGGCTTTGAACTTGTGATTCTCCTGCCACAGCCTCCCAAGTTGCTGGGATTATAGGTATGTTCCACTGCTCCCAGCATTCTCTTTCTGTTCCCCTCATTCTACTACGTGGGATCAAATCTCTGTCATCTCTTGAACAGACTGTTGTGTGAGTAGCCACTGGGGCTACTCTTTGCTGCCAGAATGCTCTTTCTAAAACAAATCTGATTATCTCTTCATTGGATTGGAACTCCTTGCTAGATTTCTATTGCCCTGTTCCTCTGTCCAGTACCAGTTCATTTCTTATCAGTCCTTTGCATACATCCTATGTTTTAGACCAAACTATTCATGCATGATTCTTTCAAATATATATATAGTCTTTAAGCTTACTTGCCTTTGCATGTTTTAATTATTTTATCTGCCCTTTCTCAATGCCTGCAATCCCTAGTCACACTTTAATACTTGACTCAAGTGTCTTTTCCTTCCTCCAGCTCTGGAATATTTAATATTCTTTTTTTTTTTTTTTTTTTTTGGTGGGACTAGGAATTAAACCCAGTGCCTTGTGCATGTGAGGCAGTGAGGCAAGCAGTCTACCAACTGAGCTATATCTTAAGCCCAATATTTCTTTTTTGAGATGTCATTATACCTAGTATTTGTCTGTTATTACTTTTGTTGTGTTATAATGCAGTTTCATTTGCATATCTTAAATAAGCCTGGAGTTTCTTGAAGCGAAGGACTGTTAATTTGCATTTGTGTGTACTAAATTGTTGGTATATACAGTCATGTGCCACATTATGACATTTGGATCACATGATGATGAACCATATATATTGTAGGGGGCCATAAGATTATATCCCTTAGCAATGTAGTAGATTTCTTGATATACGTACACTCTATAATGTTCACAACGAGGAAATCCTCTACTGACTCATTTCTCAGAATATGTTCTTATTGTTAAGTGAGGCATGACTGTATTAAAGGTCATGGTTGTTAAATATAAACAATAAAAGCATCTGAACAATACGGTTGTTCTTCTAAAGACTTTTAAGTTGTCAATTTTAAAAAACCAGGCCTATGTAATAACAGAAGAATAGTTCTGCTGTCGGGCCCAACATGTAGAGATAATTTGACTCACTAAGCTGCAGTTGACAGGTTAGTGATGTCATGATGACTGGTTCAAACCATATGAACATGGTATTACAGATCATAACAAGACTGCCTATTCATAAGTCAATTAGAACATCAGTTGTGGCTAAAATTATATATTTTGGCAATAAAATTCATGGRTGATATACTTTCATATAAACATATGACAAATCAAAAGAATATATTCATAAAATTTTGAGAACTAGATCAAGTCTAATGTCAGTCCTATGATTATCTAGTGATTTATATGTAAGTTTTTGGAAATGTTTGTTCCAAGTTAATAAGACAATTAGAGAAGAATTGATTTCCAAAGGTATAAAATAGGTTTTATACTATAATTCTTTACCCTAAGTCTTCCTTGAGAAGATGGCCCTTAACTGAGATCTGAAATGATATGTCGTAGTTAACCTGATGGTGAGAGGTAGAAAAGGAAATAGCATGTAAAGGTGGGAAGGAGCTTGGCCACTTGTGAGGTCAGGCCAGGGTAACTGCATCAAAGTAACTGAGGGGAGAGTTTATAGTAGACAAGGCTGGATGCATTGTCAATTGTAAGATTTTTTTTTATTGTTTTAAACTTAATTTTATGAGCAATGGGAAGCCAGGAAGAGAGAAATGGGATAATTTACATTTTTTGTGAGGATTTTGGCTGCATACCTTGTGAAGATTGGCACTTGAAGGGGGAATGGGAAGAATTAAAAGAGTTTGTGGAAAGATGAAAGTGGCTTAGTAGCTGGGGAGAAAGGAGAAGATGGATGGGTTTAGATTCAATAAGGACAACAGAATAACTGCTTTTGGTTCTTCAGTTGTCTCCCATATTTATACTCTTCCTCCTGTTTTGTCTAGCAGACAGATTCCCCCCATTTATCTTTCAAAACCCAGTTTCAAACCTATCACTATTATAGTATCATTTAGTCACTGTGATGTACAGTTGGCTTGTTTATTCTTTATTAATTGAATGTTAGTTTTATCAGTTTTATTATAGTCAAACCTAGTGAAATAGTTGTCATCAAACCTAGTGAAGGAGTTGTAGTGAAATTTATTTACTACCCGGAGTCTGGTCTTTTCCTTAAGTATTCTAACAGATTTTCCTATGTTGAGCATAACTCAATTCCAGGTCTGAAATCTGAGACTGAGTGTCACTCGTGTCCTTGCACAAGGATCCTCCAGGGGGCGCACACTACCAAGCTACTTTTTGAATATTGAAAAATTCATCCTGTGTTGATATATTTTGAATTTTCCAAACAAGTACTACCCTCAGTATATTTTTCTGCACTCCTCTGCTTCTATAAGACTTTACAGAATTTTCCATAAATATCTCTAATAAAGAAATTAACTGTTTCAGTTTTAGAAATAACTTGATATTTTTCTTATCTTTTTTTTAAGTATAGCTTAATACTTTTCTTATCTTTCACCATAGTATTCTTAATTTAACATAAATTTTCCCCTCATGGCAGAGGAGGAAATAATTTACAACTTTCTAAAATAATAATTTTCATTATGCCAATCTGTATATTTTGTAATTCTCATTATTAGATTGAATATCTTGAAACTTTTTAAAACTTATTTATACTTCTTCACCTAATGTTCATAACCCGCTTTCCATTCTGCCTTATTATTTTTTACTAAAACTTGAATTTATGTGATAGAAAAATTTCATAAAGTTATATAAATCCATTTTGGTTTACTTGTTTTGATTTGTTAAAACACTAGTTAAATTACATTAACATAACTTGTAATGTGAAATGCACATAAAACAAATATTATTTTTAATGGCAATTATATTTGACATTAGACTACTTTGCCATATATAGATTAAAATTCTACCTAGATAGGATATGTTAGAACAATGAAATTAAGATTTAGAGAGTTGGAAAAAATTACATTTATAAAGCAAAGATTAATAATTAGAACTCATTTACATAAGATTTTTATTAGGTTGAAATGGGGGGGGTCATTAACCCATATTAGTTCTTTACATTCTAACTTGTGTTGATTCTACAGAAATTGCAGTTAAAGAATTCTATTTTACTATGTATTTGATTCCTCCCCCATTTTTAAATAATGGTTAAATATCAATTTCATTTTATCTGTGTTCAAGGTGGTTTTGTTTTTGTGGATTTTCCTATCCTAACAGTATTCACTTTTTAAAGTAAAATGCATATGATATTACCCCGCACCCCCACTCCCCATTCATTTACTATCTCTTTCTTACCACACAGGAATACTCTGAAGATAGTAACTCTGAGCCAAATGTGGATTTGGAAAATCAATACTATAATTCCAAAGCGTTAAAAGAAGATGACCCAAAAGCAGCATTAAGCAGCTTCCAAAAGGTTTATATTTTTTTTCCAGTCAATTCTGTCTCTTCAAGTTTATGATATGTTAGACCAAACTAAGTCCAAAGTGATTTTATCTCAGGAATGTGTTTTGAATATTGGGTGGTAATCCTGTAAGATAAGTTTTTGTTAGGGAGTATATAGTTCAAAAGGGCTGCCCTACTATTTTTCCCAATCAAGCTGTTTTAGAAGCAGGATTATTGTCCTAAAAAGCATAGTAGCATACTGGCAGAAAGAGAACCAACTTGACGGTCCATCGATCACTACAATCTTATTCCTTTTGAAGACAGATCATATTGTTTTCTTCACTTATGGTACACTTTTGGGTTGTTCTTACCAAAGGTTATTCAGGGGGAAATATTCTAGGCCCATATAATCAAGTAGTAGTTCTTAATCTTTTGATCAAAGAACTTCAAAATAAGCATGTTATCTATAAAAAAGCATCTTATGATTGGTCTGTCTTTATTATAAGCCTTTTAAAAATTATATTGAGGAAAGGTGGGATTCTGAATATGATGTAAAATTCCAAAATTAGACACTGTATGTCATAAGAAAATAATGTGCTAATATTACGTTAGACTAAACTTCCTTCCCTTTTTTAGGTTTTGGAACTTGAAGGTGAAAAGGGAGAGTGGGGATTTAAAGCACTGAAACAAATGATTAAGATTAACTTCAAGTTGGTAAGATTTGTTTTGAAGGGAATTAAACTAATAACGAGTGAATTCTGTAAGTGAAAACCTCATTGCAACAGAATGCCATTTTATTAACTTCTCTAAAATGGTTCTATAACATTTCCATATTTGGTCTGCTTTGCAGTTTATAAATACATTAGTATGATTCATTTAAAAAAATTTTTGCCTAGAATACAAAAGCTTACCTTTTTGGTATGTACACAACATTTGACTACATTTTTTATAGAGTGACTTTTCCACAAAATGTTATTTTAGAAGCTTTAAAATTCTTCCACTGACTAAGGCTAAAAACATTAGTGTTGTACCTAACACCCTTTCTGTCTCTCAATCCACAAATAATCCATTGGTAAACCCAGATGACTTGATATATCTTCAGAATACATCCAGTATCTAACTGCTCTTTTTTGTTTCTACCTCTTTTACTCTGGTCCAAAGATAACATTCACCTAGATTATTGCAGTAGCCTGGTCCCCGTACTTCCTATTCTTACTCTGGTCTATTCTCCACAAGTGACAGAATGATTTTTTTTTTTTTAATGTAAGTCAGATTATGTCATTCCTTTGCTCCAAATCTTCTAATGGTACCCCACCTCCTCAATAAAATCCAAGTCATTAACATGGCCTACAAGGCCTTATAAACACACCCTTTGCTGTCCATCAGGTCTTGTTTTTTATTTACTCCTTACTAACCTTACTGTTTCTCATGTCATCCCAAGCATACTCGTGTAAAGGCTTGCTCTTGCTGTTTCCTCTGTGTCAGATGGCTCTTTGTTTTGATTCAATTCTCTGTGCAAATGGTATCACACATCAGGATGGCCTTCCCCTGACTACCTAATATAAAATAGCATGTTTTCCATCATTACTCAATTACCCTTCTGGTTTTTTCTTTGCAATTTACTTATTTATTGATTCTCTGCATCTCTCTCCTGCATTAAGTTGTAAGTTCCATGAGAGCAGGACTTTGTTTTATTCACAACTGTGATAGTGGCTGGCATTTAGTAGATATTCAAAATTTCTGTTGAATGAACTTATAGATAACTAGAAATGCCATGACATAACTTTATAGAATGCCAGTCCTCAAATTTCTTTAAACTGGCCAAATAGATTTCAAGAGTACAGGTAGAAATGGGGGGAAAGAAGTTAGGAGATGAGTACTAGGTACAGACATGAATCTTAGTTTGCTAAGGGTAGAAGAATTTTTAAGAGAAATAGAAAGTTCAGGTTAGCAGAGAGACAAGCATTGGAAACTACAGGAAAATGGCAAGTGGAAAGGTAATTGGTAATCTGTGACTTTCTTTTTCCACTGTTTATTTCCTATAAGCTTCTCTTTCATTAGCTTTTCTCTCCCATCTGAAATTGAGCTCTCTTAGTACTTTTATCCAGTTAACTTCTGCTTACATTTTTTGTTTTGACATACTTTTAACTGATATAGCCTCCTTCCTTTAATGGGAATGGCCCTCCATAGTGTCTTCTACAAAAACTATCTGTAAAATGTTTTAGCCCATCTCTTCCCCCCCAAATATTAGGACTATTCAAAACATGTTAAATTTTTAAAGTTTTTTTGTGTGTTATATTTAAATCTAGTTGAAGAAGGAAAAACATCTACATTGCATTTGCCCTTTTCATTTCTGCTCTGGTATTCTCAAAGCATTTTTATGTTGCACAGAGCTACTATACTTTCTTGCCATTTACTGATTTTAAAAATATTAATCAAATATTTGCCTCATTGAAATTAATAATTTTCAGGACTATGGAAAAAGCACTAAGTATCCTAGGAGGAAGAGATTTTTTGATTAAACAACTAGAGTGATATCAGGAGCTAAACGTTAACTCTTAAGGTTCTAAAAATCAGCTCTTAACATTCCAGCAGTACCTTAGTTTTTGTTCGTTTTAAAATGGATGCCTCCCTTAAGGCTTGGTGTGTTAGCTTTCTGTCATGCAATAAAATACCTGAGAAAATCAACTTAAAAGGAGGTAAGATTTATTTTAGCTCATAATTTCAGAGGTTTCAATTCATAGTCAGTTGGCTTTGTTGCTTTGGGGCCTGTGGTAAGTATGTATTCACCATGCCTATAAAGTCAGTTTGCCTAATCTTACCTTAATCTTCAATTACAAAAAATAATTTTTGAAGAATGAGCTTTAGAGTTACAGCATAAGGAGATTAATTCAAAACTGTGCTTTTTGATAAAATCCTGTTTTAATATCAATATATTATGTCAAAGTTGGGATAGTCATATATTTCTCTGAACTGCCTTTCTCTATATTGTTCTAAATGGATTTTTGCACATCACTGATAGGATGTTACCTGTTACTTATTCCTTCATGAAACTTACATACTTACAGACAAAAAATAGTTTGATATATACACTTATAATTTATTTATTCTTCACCCTAATAAACACACCTGTTCAGTTAGTCAGAAAAAAACACACCTGCCAATGTTCCATCTCCCAGATTAGAAGAATAGAAATAGAATTTATTAACATGAGGAATTATTGGGAGTTGGAAATTATAGAGTCTGGATGCAGGTTATAAGGTTAGACTTATGAATTGACTGAGTAAATTTCCTCTCAAATATTTAACTGCTGGATGTTTCATTAGCACTCCTTTTTTTTTTTTCCTTCAGATCTTTCATGCTTCTTGAAATAACCCACAGAAGTATAAATAGTTATGGAAGGTATAGCAACATTAACTATGTCTGCTATTGAGTTGGAGCCTTAGGTGGGACTTATTTGACATGAGATGAGTACTGTGGCTTGAAATTCTTTTACTTCGTATTTTTATGTAGAGCTGGCAAACTGTAGGGAGAAAAGACACATATAACTTTTGTTGCAGAACTTCCTAAAAAAAGGATTAAGTCTTCAGGGCAAGATATATGTGTCCTACAATGAAGAATAATATCTGAAACTTGGAAAATGTAGTAGTTGTATTTGTCTTACTGGCTGAGTGGATAAATTTTACTTGTACGTTGTTGTATATCTGATTAATATAGTCATCTGAGTAAATTTTAAGATAAAACAGCTATAGCACAATATATGTGGTCTCTCTTTAAAAGTGTATTATGAATTATATGAGCTACATTTCAATCCATATACTGTATCTTAATCATGTTTACATTTTTTAGTATACAAGTATGTATCTAATATGTTTCTCTTCCCTCACAGACAAACTTTCCAGAAATGATGAATAGATATAAACAACTATTGACCTATATTCGGAGTGCAGTCACAAGAAATTATTCTGAAAAATCCATTAATTCTATTCTTGATTATATATCCACTTCTAAACAGGTTAGGCTCAGTTTTTTCCTCTTAGTACTGTTGTATGTTTATTGTTTACAGTAAGAGCTTTGTTCTTTAAAGAAAAAAAGGGCCTAGAGATTTGATCAAAGCAGTTATGCTAGTTATTAGTATGCTTCAAAAAAATGTACTATTTTCTTGATAATAGTACTAATTATGGAACACTAAGAGGTATTAACTCCAGCTTAATCTCTTTAAATATTACCTTCAGATAAAAAAATAATCTGTAAGCAACTTTTCCAGGTTTGTATTTCGACTCCCATACAGTTACTATCATAGTTCTTGTGTTTTGTTCTGTTTTATTTTGTTTTCTCTGGTGCTAGAGCTCAAACCCAGGGCCTTGTACATACTGGGAAAGTGCTCTACTACTGACCTACCCCCCTAGCCCTCATGGTTTCTTCTCAAAAACTATTGCTGCTTTAGTTAACCTTTGGGGAGCATTTAATAAGATTGTATGCATGAACTCGATTAGGTAAAGATCCTTGTCAAGATCCTGTTCTCATGTCAGTTATTGCTTGGTATTGCTCAGTAAGTGCTCAAAAAATAAATGGTGTCTCCAAAGGATGGGTGAATAATAGTTAATGAAAGAATGGTCTGATGAAATAAAAGAAAATAAAATGAATATTGAGAGTGACAGTACTTTCATTATTCTAGATTTTGGTTGGTAAGATAAGCAGTGATGATTTTTTTTTAACTTGGATTATTTGTTCATGTTCTTTTAAGCGACATAATCTTAAATTTTAGCTTTCTTTGATCTTTGATACAAAATGTATTCACTATATCATTTGTATTTCTTAGAACATTTGATACTTTTTGTATTTTTCTCAGCATCAGTTTCTCATTTCCTATCTCTTCTACTAGATGCCATTTTATTTCTTTTTTTAAAAATACATAATATTCTTTAGTTGGACACAATATCATTTATTTATTTATTTATGGTGCTGAAGATCAAACCCAGCGCCTCGCACGTGCTAGGCAAGCACTCTACCACTGAGCCACAACCCCAGTCCTCATTTTTATTTCTTGAGGTAGTTTTTTTTTTGTTTTTAATCTCTCCTTTTTTTTTTTTAGTTTTTAGTAGACCTTTATTTTATTTATTTATATGCGGTGCTGAGAATCAAACCCAGTGCCTCACACATCCCAGGCAAGTACACTACCACAGAGCCCCAGCGCCTTATTTCTATTTTTCATGTTTAAAATGTGATGAGAGGAAAAGATGGTAAATTTATGTTTTGTTGAAACATTAGCACTTAATGGTGCTAAATCTGGAATTAAGTTATATATCAAGTGCCTTTTCTTAAGTGGAAAGTGTTTTCCAAGTCTTATATAAACAAGTATCATCAAAACATTCTTGGTACACTATTCATGCTGTGCCCCATGTTGGGGGAGGGGAATTAAGTGATTTTAAAAACTGAAAATCATGTGTTTCTGTCTGCTATTTTTCCTTTTGAAAATAAGAGATGGGTAGTGGCACTCTGACTTATTCCATATTCCAACAGTAGTCATGAAGAAACAGCCTTTCCTAAGCATGTCGAACTTGCCAATTCTCATGTTCTTTTTTCTCTTGATCCTGCTTAGTAGAGATAAGGGAACCAGATATTCAAACATAGATAAARCCAGAAGTAGAACAAGGAAGGTGAGCAGAGGAGCTTATAATGCAAAACAGAATAAGGGTTGAGTGAATACTTGTATTAATATAAAATGAGCTATTAGATTGGGAAAGAGACCTATACTGTTATAGCATCACAATTATGGCAATAGCTATATAGTAAAATGTTTTCTGGGTGTTTTAAAACAAACATAAAAACAGATCATGGCACTTATCTTTTTATAAGTTTGGTCTGTGTTAGTTTTTTTGGACTGTAAGACATTTGGTAAGATACAAGTAGTGTATCTTATGTATTAAAGTTCAAAGATGCACTTTTAGTTTGTTCAAATTAACTTTATTAACAGGTACAAATTTGCTGTTTACAATTATAGAATTCTGATTTTTTATGTCAGATGGATTTACTGCAGGAATTCTATGAAACAACACTGGAAGCTTTGAAAGATGCTAAGAATGATAGACTGTGGTTTAAAACAAACACAAAGGTAACCATTGCAATTACATTTATTTTCTTTTTCTTTCTTTTTTGAAGAGTGGGTGGGTGACTTTAATCTCTCCTAAATTTACACATCTTTTCTTTTTTTTTTTTTCTATAAACCAGCCCATTTTTTTTTATTGGTTGTTCAAAACATTACAAAGCTCATGATATATCATCTTCCATACATTTGATTCAAGTGGGTTATGAACTCCCATTTTTTACGCCAAATACAAGTTGCAGAATCACATCGGTTACACATCCACATCACATCTTTTCTTGTTGAATTCTTTTTATTTCAAGAAGTTTGCTTTTTTTTTTACAGCTTGGGAAATTATATTTAGAACGAGAGGAATATGGAAAGCTTCAAAAGATTTTACGTCAGTTACATCAGTCATGCCAGGTAGCATTTCCTTRTTTATTTTTAATGTTTTCTTTATCATAAAAAGCATAATAAATAATTGTATTCAAAATATTGTTTAGGGACATTTTTGTTCAAGCATCATCCAAAATATAAAATTTGAGAAGCAAGTTTTTGAAATGCTATTTTCAGTTTTTATCTTTTGTGGAATGAAGTACAGGTATCAGTAAACACTGTTGTAACACTTAGTAAGAATGAGCCTTGATAATTTGAGAAGCAATATGGTTGGGATAGCACATCTCTATATAAGTTTAACTGGGCTCTCATTTTATACTCCTACTTTTTTCTTCATCAAATAAGTCATTGAGATTAATTTATATTCTACATAGTAGTTCTATTTCAAACGTTTTTAGCTCTTCTGATAATATGTACTGTTATTTAAATATATATGTCATTTCTGTGAATGGGGCAGCTTTCAGGAAACTGCTTTAATTATCTGCAGATATTTTAATAGTTTTGCAGATAAGTCATTTATGAATGTTTCTTATATACATCTTGTTATCTAAGTTTAGTCAGATAAATAGCTATAGGTTCAGAGTCATGTTACATGAAAATGATAGAGAAACATTTCTGAATACAGGAGAGTCTTTCAATATATATGTAAGGAATATTTGGGGGGGTTCGAAAAGTTTTGCTTGTCTTTTTTGTTTTGTTTTTTTGTTTGTTTGTTTTTGTTTTTAATGTGCTACTGRGGATTGAACCCAGGGCTTCATGCATGTTAATTAAGTGGTCTACCACTGACCTAAATCCCCAGCCCTTTGTTTGGTTTCTGTAGGAACATAGCAAAAGATGCTGTCTAGATTGTAATAGTATTTTAATACTTAGTATTTGATGAAATTAAAGTTGAGATACATGATGATCTGGATGTACACATTGTTTTGCATATCATGTGTTTTACTCTGATTATGATTCATTAATGAATTTTAAACAGAATTTTAAGTTGAAAGACCCAATAAGCAATAAATTCTGGCTTAGTATCTATTAGTATTTGAATAAATCTTCAAGTTAAAAGCATAAACATCCAGCCAGGTCCATTAGCACATACCTGTAATCATACCTATGATACTCAAGGAGCTGAGGCAAGAGAATCACAAGATTAAGGCTAACCTGGGCAACTTGATGAGACCCCTGTCTCAAAATGAAAAATAAAAAGCCCTGGGGTGGCCGGGCGCTATAGTGCACTCCTGTAATCCCAGCATCTTGGGAGGCTGAGACAGGAGGATGGCAAGTTCAAAGCCAGTCTCAGCAAAAGCAAGGTGCTAAGCAACTCAGTGAAACCCTGTCTCTAAATATAATACAAAATAGGGCTGGGATGTGGCTCAGTGGTTGAGTACCCCTGAGTTCAATCCCCAGTATCCAAAAAAGGAGGGGACTGAGATATAGCTTAGTATGAGAACACCTTGGTTTCAATCCACAGTACTGAAAAATAAATAAACATCAACGCATTCATACATACAAAAAACTTATGACCATTTTTTACTTTTCCAGTAACTAGGAAGTAAAAAGGTTATATTGATTTCTTTTTGGCCATTAAAAGTGGTTTTCTGAATATGGTATTTCTCCATTAAAATGTGTACTGCTTTTTTCAACACAGAAATAATATTATAAATGTCAGGCTCACTAACTCAAATGAAAATTACTAGGTTGTCTGAATTCTATCTTGACTAAAGTAAAGTATTTGCTTTCCTAGACTGATGATGGAGAAGATGACCTGAAAAAAGGTACACAGTTATTAGAAATTTATGCTTTGGAAATTCAAATGTACACAGCACAGAAAAATAACAAAAAACTTAAAGCACTCTATGAACAGTCACTTCACATCAAGTCTGCCATCCCTCATCCACTGATCATGGGAGTTATCAGAGGTAAATTTGTTTTGAAGGAAATGGGCAGTAACAGGGGAAGACAGTCAAGTGTCATTGCCTATAACTAAATGACTACAGGTTGTTTTTGTTTTCTGAAAATAGTAAAATATTAATAGCAAAGTATTAAAGTCACTGAAATGGTGTAGTCTTAGAAATTAAGATGTTTGTTTTTTTGTGAAAGTTTTAACAATAAAGATTATTAGAAAATTCAGTTTATCAAAAGTTCTTTTCTTGTTTGTAATGATGTGTATAAAATTACATTCATATGAGGATAAAGATTTGCAAATGATTATTTGGCTGGTGTTTAATGAAGATTTTTTTTTTTTTAAATAAAGTATATGTCCTGAAGACAGTGCTGATTAGGTTATAGAATTAAACTGAAAATCAATGAAATGGTTTTCATTCTACATTTATAAAATGGTTAATCTTGTTATTGCAGAACTGAAAATGATCCTTTTTTCTTATGTTTTATTCGGTACAGAATGTGGTGGTAAAATGCACTTGAGAGAAGGTGAATTTGAAAAGGCACACACTGATTTTTTTGAAGCCTTCAAGAATTATGATGAATCAGGAAGTCCCAGACGAACCACTTGCTTAAAATATTTGGTCTTAGCAAACATGCTAATGAAATCGGGTATAAATCCATTTGACTCACAGGAGGTATGTGCACTTTGTTAATTTCTCTTACCAAATATCTTTGTGGAAATAATTGGTATTCTCTGTATATATACATAATTTGTTTGTTTTGTTTTAACTTGTGTTTAGGCCAAGCCGTACAAAAATGATCCAGAAATTCTAGCAATGACGAATTTAGTAAGGTAAGATTTTATGTTTCAGTTAAGGTAAATTTCTTTAAAGCAATTCATAAAGGAGAAAAAAACTTAAGAATTCAGTTTTAATATAAAGCATTTTCTTTTGTATTTTTGTATGAAATATGCAAAGTTCATGAAATTTTTATCTTCTGAAGTCACTTACTATGCTATTTCTGTTATTCACAAAATTTCATAAATTATCTGCTGTTTGGTTTTCTTGTTATCCATGTGTTTGTGTTTGTGTGTGTGCTTGTACCTGCTATTTTTCAGTGGAAAACTAATTATGGATGTCTTAAAACATTATTTCACAATGTGTACTGCCCCTGGCTACCTTAATCCAAACTAAAATTATATATTGGTCCATGATAAGTCAAGAATTTTCAATAAGAAAAAAACACATAAACACATAAACATACTTCTTTGTCTTTTTTTATTAATGACAAAGTGAAAATATTTTAAAAGAATGTCATGGGTAATTTTCTGAGGTGGAGGGTTAGGAGACAGAGGAGTCTCCTAATTTTTTGTGTACTTCTGTGGAAAAGAATAAATGATGATGGTTTGCTACTGAAGAATTTGCCACTGAAGAATTTGCTGTAATCAATTAATATTAAAGTTGTAGAAGGTAAGACCAAACAAAAAGTCTAGGAGAACAGGTACATCTTTGCAAAAAGAGTCAGAGCGTGAGAAACTATCCTCTGGGCTAGGAATAAATGGAGCTGTACAGATGCATTAAACCATACTGGACTTTGGCACAGGTTGAGAACTCTGAACAGACTGAGGAGCCAAGATTTTTCTTCTAAAGGGGCAATGAGAGAGACTTAGCACTGCCCGTTCTTATGTAAATTAGAACTGAGACCTCCCCAAGCAATGTAGGCTTTTGTGGACTTTCTAAGGTTAAAAAAAAAAAAAAAAAAGTACAAGAAACCTACTAAGTTTCTTCAAATCCTTTGTTTTAGGTTGTATCGAGGTTGAAAAAATATGGTTAAGGCAAGAGGGGCCAGGGTTTTGTTGTTTTGGTAGATATATATAGAAAATTTAGATAACAGCTATGTCTTAGTAGCCTTTTTTCATTAAAAAAATACTAGACGTAAGTTATGAATCATCTATATATAAATTTGGTTATTTCATCACATTAAATTTGTAAAATGTCCTCATTTATTCTGTTTTTATTTTACTATGACTGCAAGTTTTTTTGTTTTGTTTTTAAAAATCCTCAATGTAACTGTAACAAATAAGAATCATTTTTTTTCAGGGGAGCTAGGAATGTCCAGGGGCTAAAACCCTAAATTGCCAATAAGAAAGCAATTCCTTTATTGTTTGCTACTTTAGTCTGTTTTAACATCTGTATGTTGAATCAGGTTTAGTAGAGTTATCTATTTCAAGCAGTTTATTTGGTGTATATTTAGGCACATTAACTAAGAGTTGATTTGGTTAATACTTTTAAAATATTTTATTTGTAACATTAAATTGCTAAACAGCTGCTTTAGCTTTTAAATATTAAGTAAAAGTTTTGCCATGGACATTAATATTTTATATAAATCAAGTTGGTTAGATACATTAAAAACAAATTAAAGGACTGATTTTTTTTCCCAGACCTGTAAGAAGTAATGATCATATTTACACATTTGTTATGTCTGACTCTACCCCAGCAAAGCCTCTGGATTGGTAATTTTTACCCAAACAAGTGACATGTGGTATTCCACAATTTTGTACAAGATTTTTTAAAAATCTACTTAAGTAATGGAAAAATGTCTTATAGTTTAAAAAATATATATGCAGATATAATTATTGTGTGCAAATGTTTTCACTACTTGAATATATCCTCCTATAGTATATTACAGTAACATATTGGGTAGGTAAGAAAGTAATGCTTCCTAATTTTATCTTCCTAGTCAGTTGCCAGCAGACTAGAGGAAAATAATTCCTGTTGAAGCACTTGAATCACCTGCCCCTAACATGAAGTTACATTGCGACCCAACAGATGGAAGCACAGCAGAGGGCGTGCAGAATGGTTGATGATATGTCTTACATATAAAGCAGACAGTGGTGCCATATCCAGAAGGTTGGCTTCTTCCTTCTCAGCACCTTTAGCAATCCCCATAGTGCCTTACAGAATTATTTCAAGAGTAGATACTAGATTCCTCAGAAAATTATGAACATAAATCAGCCTTTGACCTTCTGCAACAGGGATTCCATCACTCTCTACTTTAGGTGTATGTTCATCTGGCACTAATTATCTGCCACTAATGTTTCTGCTGAATAGTTCAGTGGAACTTTTAAGACTGGAGAGACTAGAGGATCACATGTTCCTCAAAGTTTTGGCAGTTGCTGGTAGCTTTCTAGAAGATAAAAATTAGGAAGCTGCATTTTCTGAATAACTTTAAGAGAAGGTATACTTTCTTATTTGGAAGATAAGCCAAACTCCTCCTTTAGAGTGCATGAAACCTGATTTCTTTCATTAAGAACAATTAGGGATTAAATGCACAATTTAATTTGAAAAGATCAAACATCAAATAGTTATTAAATGTTTTATTGTCAACTTTAAACCAAACTAAGATTTTGAGATTACTTTATTAGCTATGTATAAATAAATAAGTACATAAACCTGAAAGATTTTTTTACTCTTGCCTTTAAAAAAAAAATGAACGCATGAAAAAAAAATATTGTGTGTGTATGTGTATGTATGTATGTGTGCGCGCACACGCTAGGGTTTGAATTCAGGGCTTGCACATGCTAAGCACGCAGTCTACCTCTGAGCGATGTCCCCAGCCCAAAAATTCAGTCACTTGCAGAAGGATATGAGTATATATATTTGTTTAATTCTGATTTGCATGGTAGAAGCAGTAAATAATTAGACATTTCCATGTGAAAATTGAGAAACAGGCTCTGGATTTTCTGATTTAATACATGATTTCTTCATATTTGACAAAATTTACACCTTTTTTTTTCTTTCAGTGCCTATCAGAATAATGACATCACTGAATTTGAAAAGATTCTGAAAACAAATCACAGCAACATCATGGATGATCCTTTCATAAGAGAACATATTGAAGGTATGTTCTTTCTGCTAACTGAATTCTGTTACTTTCTTTGACACTGTTAAATATTTCTTAATGGAGTTGTGTGGAATTAAACTGTTACTGCAAAGTATAAAAATGTTTCTGAATATTGTCATGGAACAGGATACTCGTTAAAATGATAAAACTATAGCTGGGCAGGGTGGCACATGCTTATAATCCTAGCAACTCAGAAGGCTGAGGCAGGTGGATTGCTAGATGAGACCAACCTCAGCAACTTAGCAAGACCCTAAGGACTTAACAAGACCCTGTCTCAAAAAATAAAAAAGGCTGGGGATGTGGCTCAGTGGTTAAGCGCCCCTGGGTTCAATCCCTGGTACCAAAATAATAAATAAATTAGCTGATTTTATATTCATATAATAAATATTATATGTTGTCCATTTTGTTTGAAGTGGCTGTCACTTTTAACTTTTTATTCTAATTAGATACTGTTTTTTATTTATTGATGTCTAGGTTCAAAATTAATATTTATGGTTTATTTGTCAAAAAACTTTAAATATGTCCTGCTTTAGCTAATCTTGAGATGTATTTACTACAGAAGGTAAGATAACATTGGGAAGGTTTCATACCATTAAATGAATGAGATTTTTAATCAATTCTATTGAATTCCCAAGAGCAAAAATCATCTCTTTGCTCTGGTGTCTCTTAGCCTCAGTGTACCCATCTATATGGAGTTTTTTGGGGATTTTTTAAATGAATATTTGGAAAAACTTATTTAAATAGTTAAATTCCAGATGCATCAGGAAAATTTTTCTCTTTCTTTCATTCAGTAAGCATTCTTTTTTAGAAGTTCTTCCATGAACCTGGAATGGCACTGTGCTTTGTAGATACAGAAAAATCTATAAGCATTGTGCATGAACTCCAGACTAGTTTTTAAAAATTAAAGACAATTTTATGTTACGAAACTAGGGGAAATTTTAAATGCAGTATATAAAATACAGCTTTTGAGAGAACATTAAACAAGGAACTTTGCAGGTATAAATCAGAACTTATTGAAAGATTAGTTACTCTTGAGAAAATGGTAGACAGCGGAATAATATTGAGAAGTCAAGAATATATTTGAGTAGAGTGAGACATAAGCACATTTATGGGAAAGCAGCCTCTAATTATACTGTGCATCTATTGGATYCACATGTTTTAGATCTAAATACTTTATGTCCTTGCAAAGCAAAATGATGTGTTTTGAGAAGATAGTATATATTAATTAATATGATTTAGAAGCATATATGATTCATAAAGATATACAAATTGAATTACAATTGTATTAATTTTTGTCTTTTCTTTCAGAGCTTTTACGAAACATCAGAACACAAGTGCTCATAAAATTAATTAAGCCTTACACAAGAATACATATTCCTTTTATTTCTAAGGTACTTATATTCATTGATTTTAATGATGTGTACAATTTGTTCTTACAAATGTAGCCTATCTTTCCTTTTAAAAAACTAATTCTGACTTGTAACATGTGTAGTGTTACATTTTTAAAATTAAGCATGACCTCAGAGCTTTGAATTTATGTGAAATTTTTGTGGGTTTTTTTTTTTGGCATAAAATTCAATTAACAGAAAAGAGCTTTAACATTGTAGCAGATTCTTTCAACTATAGCAAGTTGTTGAAAAGAAGAGTAGCTGAAATATATCAGGGCCAAACTCAACCACAATAAAATTATAGTAGGAATATTCTTCAAAAGTTAAATTGTTATCAGACCTGTGTTTAAAGCAAYAATGAATTTACAGATCTTTTTACTAATTTTCCTTCATGTTATAGAAATGAATTTAAAATCAAAATGATTATGTAAAATCATGAAGTCTTCAAAAACATTAATTATTAGAATTATAATCTTTTGTCTTAGGAGTTAAACATAGATGTAGCTGATGTGGAAAGCTTGCTGGTGCAGTGCATATTGGATAAGTAAGTACTTTGTAATTTTTTTTAATCACAAGATGTTTGAAATTATATCTTAATAATGGTGATAAAGGTAGCAGTTGAGTTCTTGATTTTTTTCATAAAAAGCATGTGGCTTCAATTTTCTACTAGAAGAGGGGTGTTTGTATGATGATTTTGATAAATGAACCTATACCTTTATTTCACTTGTTTATTTTTATGTGGTGCTGAGGATTGAACCCAGGGTCTCGCACGTGCAAGGCAAGCGCTCTACCACTGAGCCACAACCCCAGCCCGATAAATGAAATATTAAACATAATTTCTGAAAAGTTCTAAATAGTTTAGAAGGATTTCTGCATACAATATGTATATAGCAAGAAATTATTTAATGCATAGTTATTTTAATGTTTTTAAGTGTATGATATATGCTATTAAACAGTTTTTTTGGTTAATTAGTAAGTTATGCCTATTGATTCTTTTAGTAAGATTGATGAAAGATAATCAAAATCTGGTTTATTTCTAGGTTTGAATGAGGCAATAAATGTTATAACTAACACTAAATTCACTCAGTGTAGGCAACAGTTTTTATTGTTGTTGTTTGTTTTTTTTCTTTTGTTTTATTTTTTGGTGAGTCATGCCAGTACTGGAAATTGAACCCAGGGCCACTTTACCACTGAGCTACCTCCTCATTCCCTTTATATTTTGAGACAGGGTCTCCCTTAGTTGCTGAGGGTCTTGCAAAGTTTCAGAGGCTGACCTTAAACTTGAGATCTTCCTGACTCAGCCTCCTGAGTTGCCAGGATACAGGTGTGCACCACCACACCTGGCAGCAGTTTTTTCTTTACATTTATTGATATTGTGCTGAAAATGATTTGTACACATTTTCTTTTATTTATTTATTTCTAGTACTATTCATGGCCGAATTGATCAAGTCAACCAACTCCTTGAACTGGATCATCAGAAGAGGGGTGGAGCACGATATACTGCACTAGATAAATGGACCAACCAACTAAATTCTCTCAACCAGGCTGTAGTCAGTAAACTGGCTTAACAGAGAACAAGCTTTTACAGACATACTTAAGGCAACAGTGCAGAGATGTAATCCTTAAAAGAACTGGGAATGGCAAAACTACTGTCGGTTGATGTGTCCTGAAAATTATTGGAGTTATGGCAGAAGTGCTTTTTTGATCAACTGGTTTGTGTTTTGCTGCTGCATTTATCCCAAGAAAAACAGCTTTAATCTCCAGAAGAAAACCAAAATACCATGGGATTTATGCTGTATTGACATCTTGCCCTAAACATACAACATCATAGTAATTTGTCATGGGCAACATGACCAGAGAGAAGATTTTTGTCATGATTTTAAATACACTGACACGCTACTGTTGGTTAAATTTAAACATGTTTTACCTGCAGAAATTCTCTCACAAATAACCTGCAATAACTTGAAATGCATACCCTTTTGAACACTTCCTTTTCTCATGTATAAATGAAAATGTTTGCTGCATTTTGCAAAATGTCAATTCTCCAAAAATGTGTCCGTATATTTCTGTACCTGCAGTGTAGTAAAGGTTTAGATGAAACCCCATAATTATAGTGGCATACTGTCACTTAGGTTTCAAGCAGCAAAATAAACAGTGCAGCTCAGAAATGATAGTTTGGTTCTTGATGTGTTTTTATTACATTTGGGTTGTTGTTTTGTTTTTTAGAAGTTTCAAATTATCTTCAGTTAATGATTAAAAAACCTGAAGGCAAATAAGGTGGTTATTTGCTTTCAAGTTTTTAAAAGTGGTCTTATTGGTAAAGTAAGGAGAACTACTTTCTAACAAAACACTTGCATAGTATTTACTTTGACAGTGAGGCTTTAAAGGAATACAATTCTTTTTTTTTTTTTTTTTTTAAGAATGATATTCCTTTTAAAAAGAATACATTTTAATTCAGAATGTCACTTTAAACAAATATGCCAGAACATAGACAGCTAAATGAATGTTACCCTGCTTAGTGATCATGCTGGAAGGTTATTTTCTAATGCCAGCAATCTAAATCTACCATTGCCCAAAACCTCATGGGTGTGCTCTTTTAGAATTGCATTCAAAGTTAATTTAAGTCATAAACTGTTAACTTTGACTATACATTGTTTTTAAAAAACAAAAATTATTTCCAAGCTTGATTGTTTTTAGTTACCATTATTTGGCACCAGATAACAGTTTCCAAAAATTGAACCTAACTTTGAAGTAATGCAGAAAGTGTGTAATTGGCTTTGAAAGCAATACCAAAAGAGTTTTAAAGGTATTTTGTGCAGTGGCAGTATAGTTAAAAGAATGAACTGTGGCCTTCCAAGGTGACTACCTTAAAGGAACTCAGCTCATTTGAATGTATTGAGTTTGGGATGTGTTTGTTTCATTTTTTTAAAAAAAGTTCACATTATTTTATAGTGTCAAAAGGAAGAACTAAGGTTAACATAATTTCTTTGGTTTTTCTATTGCTTGTTATTATGTAAAAAGTGAGTGGCAGTTCAGAAGGAAGACTGTTGTAACTGAAGAGTGACAACCAAGAATTTTTGATCATTAAATCAGATTTTATAAACAGTGGAAGGAGCATGGACTTAAAACAAGGCATGCTTATTCGGTTTTGTCAAAATTTTACGAAAATATGTGATATATATTTATACTAAAACTATATAATCCTTAGATTAGGAAAGCAATCAGTTAATGTCTTTAGCAGATAAAAGCAGTATTAAATACAGGTATAAGTTGGAAATTGTAGAAACCTGAAAGAAACGAAAGACAAAATTAATGTTTATGATAGGGAATAAAAAAGTTTAAGATATTATAAAATTATGTGTATTTTCTTCTCTTTTACATAAGTCATTTGTGAAAAGTGTGCTAAAAATTTTTTTACAGGAGTGATTAATTAGGATTTATTTTTCAATATAATTTGGAGACCCTTTGTTACCTAAATAAAAATGACAAGTTTCTGTGCCTGTATTCAAATATGTATGCATGTGATAACCTTGGGAAGSTAAAGCCCTGCTTCACTTTGAGTTGACTGAATTAGAATTCAAAGAATTTGAATTATGTAATATAACTGTTACCCTCCATACGCCCAGTTCTACTGTGATGTCTTTGCTGCTTGCAATGGTGCATCTTCTGGTTTCTAGGAAAAAAAAAAATCATATACCTGTAATTCATTGGAACACTGGGCCAAGATATAATAATATCTAAAGTTATACCATAACCTTTAATTTAATGAAATGGTATATGTATTACACATGTTTTACTTAGTATATTATTCACTAGATACGGGCTTTTTGTTTTTTGCTTTGGATCAGTTTGGTTGGTTGGTTTTTTGTTGTTGCTACTCATTTGCCACTTTCCTTCTAGAACACATATTTTTGATCTTAACAGTCTAATTTAAAACAAGATATTTTTTCTCTATAAACATTTTTCTTTTTTGTGAGCATCAAATATTGCTTATCAAAATATAATTAAGGGAACTAAAAAGTTGATCAGCAGATTCTGCATTCATCCATTGATTTAGTCTTCCTCACTTTTGTGAAAATGACATAATTTATATCCTGTTGCAATGTGTTCATCTCATTTTTCTTTCTTTCTTTTTTTTTTTTTTTTTTTTGGTGGGGGGTACTAGGGATTGAACTCCGGAACACTCCATCACTGAACCACATCCCCAGCCCTATTTTGTATTACATTTGGAGACAGGATCTCAGTGAGTTGCTTATTATCACCTTGCTGTTGCTGAGGTTGGCTATGAACCCGCTATCCTCCTGTCTCTGCCTCCTGAGCCACCGGGATTACAGGCATGTGCCACCGTGCCCAGCTCTCATTTTTCTTTTTATCTCTAAACCTGTTAAACTTTTTCCAAAGCAATCCTTGGCTGCTGCAGGTAGCTCCAGTCTACTATAACAGCTGTATTTCTATTGCCCTTAGCTTAATTTAAAGTTGTTGATTTAAAACTCTTTAATGTAATATGACTTTTTTTTAAAGATGAGATTAGTATACATGTACTAAATCTTGCTTTCTAACTAAAGGTTGGTAGTGATGGTATTATCTTTCAAGATTGCTAAAATCCTACATTCACAATGAGAGTTTAATTTGTGAAGCCGATTTTAGGTGGGCTATTATGGGTGGTTTGATACGCTTTGTTACATAAGATAAAAGTTTGTCTCAGACTAACACCTATCCTTAATATTTTAAATAGCCATCTAATTAGAAGTTTTAAATTGATAGTTTTTATAATTCTTCATGTAAGTACTTTTTCTTTTGGGGTAAAGGTATCTAAACCAGCATATGAAGCAGATTAATGGTGATACAGAGCTTAAGTCAGATAGTCCATATTCTTCCTATTTTTTTAGGGAGATCAGAAGTCATCATTTATTTACCAAGGCTTTTTTTTTTTTTTTTTTTTTTTGGTGCCAGTGATTGAACCCAGTAGCACTTAACTACTAAGCCACATCCCCCAAGCCTTTTTATTTTGAGACATGGTCTTGCTAAGTTGCTGAGGCTGGCCTCCAACCTTATCAGCCTCAGCCTCCTAAGTTGCTGGAATTGCAGGTGTGCACCACTGAGCCCAATTTACCACGGCTTTTTAAAAAATAATAATAATCCTTTAGTCACTGATTTAAATAAACCTTAAAAGTTTTCATTTGATACAGATCCTTTTTAGTATCATGTATTTTATAGAAATTGGAATAATTAAAAATCTTATGTCATCAAATCTTATAGTAAGAAAGAAAAATGCCAGCTCTACCTTACAACCTGGTGACAGGAAAGGGAAAAATATTTCTTAAATACTTATCTTACTATTGGGAGCCAGCTTTGTTTATGCTGGCAAAATTATAAACTTTGGTTAAAATTTCCACATAAATGACTGGACAGTATTATGTTTAGTGGATATGTTTGTGTGTATATAGAGAGAACATTGTGAAAGTACAAAATTCACTCCCCAGTCTATTACAGTAATTTTCTTTTTTTTTTTTTTTGGTCTCCATTACTTAATATCACTTTTTTCTAACTCGGCAAGTCTCAATGCCATGAAAATAATTGCCAATGTACCAATAACTTACATGAGTTAAGTTTTACCTGAAAGGATATTTAACTTTACATAGTGATCTAAAAGAATTTTTAATTTTAATTCTAAAATTGGGTCATTTTAAACTTAGTTTGTAAAGGCTGTTTGTCTTATTGAACATTCATCTTATGTGAGTTTGAGAGATTTTAAAAATGTGATTTTTTTTTTAGTCATCCCATGAAGTTGCCAAAAGTTTTAACATGCTTATTTATTAACAGCATATTTTAGTGCTGAGTGATGAATGTCTAATATTTGTTAAAATGTTTTCCTATCACTATTTATTACTAAGTTAACACTTTGGGGATGATATTGTCAATTATACTTAAAGAAATTGAGCAACGAGATGGAAAATGCAATGGGTTTTGCAATATGTTACATAATTGGATGTTAAAAGTTTTCTCAGTTTTGCTTACACTAATGTTAAATTGCTATGCATTCCTTGAGTTCACTAACTAGATGGTAAGAAGTAGGTGACTAGGAATGTAGCAGATGTTTACCTGGAATTGGTAGATCTACAAGTCAGTACTTGAGAATCAATTGTAGGTGCAGGGGTGAATCATAAGATGCTATAAGCTTAGGTGTTCAAGGGTTTTCAACTCATCTCAAAGTACACATTCCTTATTGGTAATAAAGATTACATAATCTACCTCTTGTGCAATATTTACTGTGTAAATATTAGTTACAATTAGTTTAAGACCAGAACTCTGACTTTTAAACAGTATAGTTATATGTGCTTAATGAAGTATTTCAAGAATGCATTGCTGTAAAATAACTTCATGTCTTAAGAATGTTTCTCGGGTAATAATGCTGAAAATCTTAGCCATTTGGTTTGAAAATCAGTTTTAGTGTTCTTTTAAGATTACCTTCTTGTTTTGCTTTGAAGCATTCATGGAGTAGTTAACCTCTCCTGAACTCAGTTTAATTTTCTGTCCTGGCAAATTCATGTTGCAAACCAGTGTCTATTAAATTGTACCTTCCGTATAAAACTAAATATTTCCAAGCAGGAAATTAAGCCAAAAGAAAAAGTAAGGGAACAAATGTACTCTCACAAATGCCTAGTATAGCTCTTTAAAATAACCCATTTATTACAGTGTAAATTCCTAAAACCAATGTTGTTTACTGTGCTTCAAATCCTTTGGCCTTCCAAATTGGAGGGTTAGAAGGAGTCACACACGTTAGCCACTTCTGTTCCAAAAAACTGCATTTGAAACAGTGGTAGGCGGTATTATGTTGGTATCATTAGCCCAGCAAGGACCTAAATATGTAGTATACATCTAACATTTGAGGTGTGTTATTTATTTTGTACTTAATAGTTTAATGTTCTCAACTCTTGATTTTTAAGAGTAGTAAGTAGAAATTTTTAGTTTTCTTTCTAGAATCCTATTTTAAGTTTTATGTTTGATCCTCTGTAGATTAGTGATTTTCAACTAAAGAAGGGTTACCTATCTTCATCTTGTTAAAGTAAGCTGTTTCATAAATGAATATGGATTACAAATTGATGTAATTTAATGGATAGGGAGTGATTGATTGATAAAGCTTGGTCATTTCCCATTCTCCTTATTGTGT